CATTACCCAACTAGATAACATCATCAGCGTGAGTCTGAGGTTTGATACCTGTTTATATACACTAGTTTGCCCTGCCAGTTTTACCAAAACCCCACAGTCACACTGACGATGTTACCTAATTGGGTAATGAAACATCCATAAGCAATCAACCAAGCTCAGAGAGCATCAAGGACTCCACAGTTCAACCCTGACCTATATATATTCTCTTCTATTGGAATGCAGTGCTTGGCTGGGTTGGAACGGCCCACGTGAAAAAGGAAGCACATCCTATAGCTTTAAATTCATCTACAACAAACCAGGTTGTTTGTTTTCAAGTTCAAAAGCTGGGGAGGGGGGACATGAATGGAAAGAGGAGAGGAACGCAGGGGAAAAATCAAATTAATGGCACTTTAAAAGGAAGCTAGAAGCGGCAGAGGGCTGTAGGCTGATCAGTTTGATGAGAAAAAACAAACCGTCAGTTTGAAAGGCACACTATCTTATCTGTAACTTGTGGGACTAGAAAAGAGAAAAGGCAGGGAAGATACTGCAGCTTTTAATTAAAAGTAGATCCTTTTATCTGCCAGCTATGGAAGACAAGGCAAAATCCCCTCCATGCACTCCCTCCCTTCTTCTCCAATCACTCTGTCACTATTTCTATCTACAGGGCTATTTTTTTTTCATACTTCCTTTTTTTTATTATCTCATTTTAGGAGCCTGCTTCTATAGCAGCCTCTGGGCCAACTTGGAGTTGGCAGGGTCACAGCCCCAGGCGCTGGCTTGTGGTGATAATGGGCAATTAGGTTTTATCAGCAGGATCAGAAACAGTATTCTGTCCAATTTCTCAGCATCTGTCTGTCACATAATGAGAGACCCACAGTCTTTCACAGGCAGACTTCTCTCTTTCTTTAAAACTTTTCCTCTTGAAATCTTGCTAAGTTCCTTCAAACTGTACTAAATAAAACCTTGAATAAAATTGCCTTATCTGACCCCAAGCTCTCACCAAAGCAGTACTTAAACTGACAGAAGTATTTGGGTTTGCAAAAGCCATAATGCCAGGTGCAGCACAAACCTAGTTCCTATGTTTTTTAAATCAGCATTTACCTACCTGGCATACGATGGTTGCCCTACCAGTCAAAGACTCCCCAGTCAGCATGGCCAACAGTATATGGGAATTCTGGTAATTACAATTACAATATACCTCGAGGACACCGTACTAAGAAAGGTTTGTTCTAAATCATAATGACTTACTTTCCTATTCATGCTGTAACAAAACTGGAACCAGTACAAATTTGACTATTACCTATTATTTGGCAATAACTTTGTAGGCCATTAATATTAGTGAAAAAGATATTTTTTTATCCCATTTTTCCTAGAAAAACAGGATAACATGTAATACTCACCCACATCTTTCTGTTCTACTATACTGTTTTAACTGTTGAACATCTATAACATTATTTTTTTAGAGCTGGTTCTCAAAGTAAAGATACATTTTATTTTCATCCCACGATCTAAATAATGCTGAGATACTGAAGGGCAAGTGTGCTCAAACTGTGAGTTGTGAACCTCCTGCACAGGGCATGGTGACCAACTTAGAGTGGGGATTGCAAAATGTTTTACATTCTGGTTGGGCAAAGTAGAGGTACAAACAAATCTCACTCTGGGCTTTGTTCCCACTTTGTGCAGGCTTTTGCAGGCTTGCCCAAGAAAAAAATAAGTTAAGTTTTGACAGTGTTTCTGCTTTGCAAATGGAAGGACTGGTGAAAGTCAGTCTTGGCTTTGCTCCCTGCTTTGCCTGTGCAAAGTCTGCAGTGGGCAGTTATGATTTGATAACAGTTGATCCCCAGACTGACAAGGATCCAGAAGACTGTTTAAAAACAGCCACCTGCAAGCTCCTTCACGATCAGTGAAGAGACCCAACACTTTACTGGTTCACAAAAAAGAAGAGAAGAGAAGAGAAGAGAAGAGAAGAGAAGAGAAGAGAAGAGAAGAGAAGAGAAGAGAAGAGAAGAGAAGAGAAGAGAAGAGAAGAGAAGAGAAGAGAAGAGAAGAG